GACTAGGTCCAGAATCTTTGACTTTTATGATCCTCCTCCCTTGCATTTGCTGCTTGTTGGAAGTCTCAGACAAAGAGTTTGTAGTCCCCTGGAATGGAAGGTGTTCGTGGCTTGAATAGGTCTTTGAAGATGGTCTGTGATTTCCACCTTTAAAGAAGCTTACCAGTGTCAGGATTGTAGTGTGTTGGTGGGGGAAGCATATTAAGCTTGCTTTGTTGCTCTCTGCACTGTACCCATTCTGCAAGTTAATTGCGGAATTTGGTTTTGAGAGCTGGCAGTCAATTCCTGTGTCATTCATAAGCATGAAATGCACCACAGATTGTTTCTAAGGATGTTCCTGTTGACAACCAAATACAAATAAAGTGGGGAGGGGAGGAACGATCTTCCTCCTCCACCGACAAGCACCTTATTTAAATCTAGTCATATTTTTATTTCATTTGAATGGGAAGTCCTTTTTCATGCTAGTGTCTCCAAGGAGGGTTCAGATAGACGGTATGTAGAGATATATGTGTGTTGGTTTTCTCTTTCTCTGCATCCAGGCATCATTTTAGTGAAGCTGTAATACTTTGACACACATGGTTGTCATTATAACAGGAGAAAGGAGAATAGAAATAGGACATAATTTACTGCATTTAGTGAGAGGATCTTGTTGGCCTTGGTGACTTTTTGGGTCATAAAAAAGAGGGACAATGATGACAGTTGGTCAGGAGGTGGGTTTTTGTTTTTGTTTTTGGATGAACGTTTTTTTTTTTCTCCAGAAAACACAAAGCTGTTGAAGCTGAAACTTTTTTTTAGAAACTTTTTGTTTTGACGAAACTTTCCTCATGTCCAAGATGGAGTGATGCCCCTGTGTCCTAGAACAGTCGGTAATGCAGTGCTGAGAGCCCTCATCTGGGATGATCCAGGATTCAGGTTTGATTTAAAGCATGGACTTGAACTTGGGTCTCTCACATCCCTGGCGAGAGCCCTAAGCACTGTAGCATGTTCTGTCTAGGAATACTAATAATTAGCAATTCATAACAACAACAATAATAATTAATCATATATTTTAGTAAGTCTTGCGTTCATTCATTCCAGTGCAGAACGAAAACAAAATTCATTTTTCGTAAAACTGAATCAGTCCCTAACAGTGACTTTTCTGGGGTGCTCTGTGAGTTGCTTCCCAAGATCTGGCAGTGCACCCCTTATCTAGTCCTTAGCACTTCCCGGGCTTAGGCGCCTTAGAATCATAGGGTTGGAAGACACCTCAAATCTGCCTAACTGGTGTAATACATTTGGAAAGGTGTGAGGCAGAAAATATTGCATTTGTATTTACAAGGCCTCTATAGGGAAACAAGCTTCATATCTGATACTGCATATCTATGTATGTAGGAAGTTCCCCCAATCTGATATGGGACAAAGAGGCACAGTTACAAGGCTATATGGGTATGTCTGCACTACCCCGCTAGTTCGAACTAGGAGGGTAATGTAGGCATACCGCACTTGCAAATGAAGCCCAGGATTTGAATTTCCCGGGCTTCATTTGCATAAGCAGGGAGCCGCCATTTTTAAAACCCAGCTGGTTTGAACCCCCCTCCCCCCGCTGGTTTGAACTAGGAAGCCTAGTTCGAACTACCTAGTTCGTGCCCCGTGTAGCCGTGCGGCACGGGGTTCGAACCAGCGGGGTTTTAAAAATGGCGGCTCCCCGCTTATGCAAATGAAGCCCAGGAAATTCAAATCCCGGGCTTCATTTGCAAGTGCGGTATGCATACATTACCCTCCTAGTTCGAACTAGCGGGGTAGTGTAGACATACCCTATGAGAAGGACACACACAGGCAAGGGTTAGACTGTCTGGGGAGCATGTGGAAATCAGACAGTGCAAATGGAGGATACCACTTACCTATATAAGACACGAGACTGTCCATATTAATGTGGCAGTGTGAGGGCATCCAGCTTCATTATTCGTATGTTTTGCTCTCAGTCTAGTGCCCTCTTTTTCTCATAAATTGCCATGGGGCTGCGCTTTGTCCCAGGCTAATGCCCTGCCACCATTTTTTGCATTCTCACATTGCCTTCCCTGTCCGAGTTAGCCCTGCAGTGCCTGTACTGGCCACGGCTTGAGATGTGACACTGGGCAGGGAGGAAGGACCTCTGAGGTGGCACCGAGCAGTCTCTCCCTCAGGAGCTTGGCTGGCTGGTTACTGCTCACATATTCAGTGTCTAATGGGTCACCCACTGTGCGGTCAGCATGGAGTTTCTCTCCTGGTCAGATTGGCAATGACCTTTTTCACCTTCCTCTGCAGCATGTGGGGGCAGGTCACTTGCCAGGATTATCTGTGTCTATCTCGCTTGTCCTTTTCCTGCCATTTCAGGGGCTTTAGGACTGGTACTCCTTGGTGTCTCCTGTGGCACATAATACTCTAGCCTCCCATGAATTGTAATACTTTGGTCTAATTTCAGTTTCAGGATTTAATGGACAGGTATTGGATGATGTTAGTGGCTTGTGGTATGCTGGAATTCAGACGAGATAATCTGGTGGTCCCTTCTGGCCATATGGCTCTGAGAGCAACACAGCAGATAGTATGGGCAGTACTGTTAGAAAGTGAGTCTGAGGCTACAGTGCAGAGGGAGTAGGGTCATGCACATTTTTTCCATGCAACATGATAGTTAAGTGACTTTTTTATTATTAAGGCAGCTAAAATGGCTAGGGTCGGGTTTGTTTTTGAGGGACATATGTATTACTGCACAGTACAAAATGATGGAAAAAAGGAAACTGACAATAGGGGAAAAATACACTCAAGGAAACAAGTTAGATGATATATTTGTATTCTAGTAGTTAGCATTGTAAAGGTTAACAGCCTGGCAGCATTTTCTTCTTAATCTTTACTTGTAAAGGGGTTTATAGCTTGGCACTTAAAGTAGGTCTGGGTGGAAACTTGGCAAATAAGGTTCAGCCCAGGAAGGTGAATTTTATTTGTTACTGAATTTAAAAAAATACTTTATCTTTACCTTTAATTTTTTAGTATTCTTAGAAATTCTTCACATTCAGTGCCTTGTTCTCTTGCACTTCCTTAATTATAAAACTGCTTCAAGCTTAATTCAGCTCTTTAAACTGTGGTAAATTCCATTGATACCGATATCATTGCTTTGAATTTAAGTGGTGTAAATGAGGACTGACCGCGGCCTTTATTTTTCTCCAGCAAAAATACTTTGGGTGTTCGGTCTATAGCAAGTACAAGGTTTATGTATTAATTTTTAAAATCTGTTTGTGGAACAAGTGGCTATTGCACAAGTTCAGTAATGTCTAAAACACTTTTGTATTAATATTGCTTATATTCTTCTTATTAATCCTCACTGGCATTAAGGCACATATGGTATCAGAGAATGATACAGTAGGATCTGGTCCTGCAAACTTTTACAAACATCAATTGCCTTTCTGCTGTAGCCCTCTTTCATTAATTGGGACTAACCTCTTGAATGAGTATAAACAGTGCTTCGTCCATAGACTAGCCTGCTGAAAAGAACTGAATAATTGCGTGTGAAATAGGCTGCAATTACTGTATCAGAAAAAAATCTTGTGGTTTTATTTTCAACATTTTTTTGTCTTGAGTGAGTTGATCAAATTTTTTTCATTGACATGTTGATTTTCAGTCAAAATGAAAATTTTCACATCAAATTCTCTCTCACTTTGGTCAACATGGATTTTTTTTTTAAACACTGGAAACCCAAAACGATTCAGTAAATTATTTAATTTTCGATTAAAAAATTTTTTTTTTCAGAAACTGATGGGTTTTTTAACCAAAAGCTGAAATAGTTTGAAATCTTGTATGTATGAACTTTTCCACACTATCTCACCAGTGAGACTGCAATCCTGTTCAGGAAGGATTAGCTCTAGAAGCGAAAAGATTGTTGATCCATATGAAATCCGTAACATTTTATGTTTCTTTCTGAGAGAAATAGGCAAGTTCCCCAATAAGCTGTCAACCTGAATATTAACTATCTAAAGCTTCAAAGCCTTATATAAGATAAACAAAAAGTCTTCAAAGCAATGTGCAAACATGAATGATTGCACAAGTTATAATATTATTGTGACATGCATGAGATAAATCTTGGCTTATTATTGTGGAAAACATTCCTATGATGAGTCAATAATTTCTAGGTATAGGATGCAAGATCCATATATGGGATGTTAAATATCGGTTAATTGAATAGTCGATTAAACTCATGAATTCTTATTGGTTATTCGACTATTCTATAGTCCCCGGGGCTAGGGCCGGCAGCCAGTGTGCATCAGCCCCACTCCCAAAGAGCCACCTGCCATCCTGCATTGTTGCCTCTGTATCAGAGGCAGTGGCGTGAGGTGCCAGGTGGGAGCTGGTCCACACGGAGAGCCAGTTTAAAATCAGCTCCCCTCGCAGACTGGCTGCCTGTCACCCCATGCTACTGCCTCTGATACAGGAGCAGCAGTGTGGGGTGGCAGCAGCCTCTGTTGGGCAGGGGGGTGGGACTGAGCTCTCAGACCCATTGCAAGCCAGAAATGATCCAGGCTGCCTGCCTGGCTGGCTCCTAATACACTTTAAATGCAGAGTCACCGCTAGAGGAGGTCCCAAACCCAGCACAAGCCACACTGCTGACCAGTCTGCTAAAAAAACTTACTGGCAGGGTGAGGGGAGGAATGCATGTAGGTAGTCCATAGTATTAACCTATAAGCTTTTGCTAATTGGTTAATTGACTACATGATTGCATCCCGTATGTATATGAAACTTTGAAACACTGAAAAACTTGATTTTTTATCATTGTTCCTTTTGGTGCTGTCTTTCCTTGTGTATCTTCCCTGGGATCCTAGGAAAGCTTGCAGAGGTTGGAGTTAATAATTTCACTGTTTGGTACAGTAGCTGTGGCATTAACTGATTTTTATTATATGTACTGAAAATACAGTCAATTGTAATGACTGTTATATTAATAGTCCTGCTGTCAGTGCAAATCAAAATGATAGTGAACTCTTTTTGTCTTTTAACAGTGGAAAGAGTCGAAAGAGAAAATCTATCAGACTATTGTGTTCTGGGTCAGCGTCCCATGCACTTACCAAATATCAATCAACTGGCAACCTTGGGAAAAACTAATGAACAGTCTCCTCATGGCCAAATTCACCACAGTACTCCAATCCGAAACCAAGTGCCAACATTGCAGCCAATCATGAGTCCTGGTCTCCTGTCTCCTCAGCTCAGTCCACAGTTGGTAAGGCAGCAGATAGCAATGGCCCACCTGATAAACCAACAGATTGCTGTAAGTCGGCTATTGGCTCACCAACACCCACAAGCTATCAACCAGCAGTTCTTGAATCATCCACCCATCCCTAGAGCCGTTAAACCAGAGCCAACGAATTCATCCGTGGAAGTCTCTCCAGATATTTACCAGCAAGTGAGGGATGAGCTGAAGAGAGCCAGTGTGTCCCAAGCTGTCTTTGCAAGAGTGGCATTCAATCGCACCCAGGTATCAATTTTTATTCTATTAAATAAGAAGAGCGGGGAAGGGGGAAGGTCATAACTTTTCAAGGTTGCGTGGTGTAATATAATGGATTTCTGGGGTACCACTGAGAAGGTTAAATCAGGGCAGATTGCTTAAAGACAGGGCTACTTACAGCCCAACACTGGAGATCCTTCACTATAAAGCACACCACATAAGTCACAGAGAGCACGTCCGTTAGCCATACTGGTCAACAAGAAGTCACACAAGCATTCCCTTTAGATACTCTAGCTTCTCCAGTACCACAACCGGTCTCACTTCTTACACAGATGATTGCAAACCATCCCAAAGGACTGGCCACATTCTCAGGTCAATTTATACCTCAGATCTTATCCAAAAGAGCACACTGTGCCAATCCTTTAGAATCTAAAATCTAAAGGTTTAATAAAAAAGAAAGAAAGAAAGAAATGAGAGTAAAATTGTTAAAGGAATCAAATTACCGACGCCAATTACAAAGTTCTTGGGGCAAGTTGTAGCAGAGATGGAATAAACTGCTATCTGCTAACTGCTTGAAAGTCTCTGGAATTCATAGCAAAGATACCCTGAAGTGGTGAGCTGGAATGAAGACAAAGATGGAGGGACTCCCACAGAGCCCTCTTGATTCCCTTGCTCATGTGGAGGGAATTCCATTGTTCTTCTTGTTAGAATGTATGTCCGAGATGGAGTTTGTCATATGAGCATGTCACCTGTCCATGCGTGACTCAGTCCTTTTTAGGCAAACTGCAATGCCATACATGCTGGTTTGAATGTTCACACCAAGGTTCCTCCGATGTGGACTGGAACCACTTTAAGGTCCATTCTTAGTCAAGTACTCCAAATCATTTGACTAGCAACCCTTTCACAATAGGTACGTGAAGCCTGTTTGTCTCCCAGAAGAAAACATTTGAAATGCAAGAGTGGTTACAACCATGTTTTCTGTGTTTACATCAGAATCCAATGACGTCACGCAAGGTTGTTGCAGATCATAAGAAACATACCAAGGAATAATGAGCTTCTCTTTTTCTAATATTATGTTATAGTCCGCACAGTTATAAATCTTTCAAAAGTTTTAAGTTAGGTCAGATGGTCAGTCTTGGCTGCTCTTAAAATAATTGCAGGATTCAGCACATGAATGAATTTTATTTGCAGATAGGGAATGCCAGCCCTCACTGCTAGGATACCATCACAAGTTAAAATAATTCTGTGGGCCTGAGTCTCTGCTGTGAAATTTTCCCCATGATTCTCACTGTCGCTGCCTCTGGAGCCAACCCCCCTGCAGCGACTAGCTCCAATGCCTCACCTTCTGCGTCTGTGCCATGTTCAGGTCCTGCTTTCCAGCCTAGCTCGCAACTGATGCCAGAGCCAGCCCCATATTAGTAATGAGGAGAGGTACTACTGGCCTTCCCGTGACTCCGTCAATTTTGACCCCACAGACCATCAGTGAGTGAGTGGTGTTGCAAGGTGGTGCGTGGAGATCGCAACGTCACTCAGATTTGGCCCTGCAGCCCTTCCCTGGGTGGTGCTGTGGCTCTCACGCACTCAGCTTTTCCCCATGGCCCCTTCATCACAACGGCAGGGTCTAAGCCAGGGGTGGGCAATAATTTTTGCCTGGGGGTCACTTCAAAAATTTTTGAAGTAGCCCTGGGCCACCCGGGTTTGGTCTGGTTTGGGGGAGCCCCTTTGCCCCCCCTTCCCACTAGGCTTGGCACACTCCCCCACCCCCAGGCCAATCAGGCACTTTGCAGTGCCACACCTCGCAAGGCCTGGTCAGGGTTGCTCCCCTGCTCCCAAGCCCCGATTAACCTGGGGCTGGGGGAGCGCGCAAAGCTTCCTCCGCTCTCCCCTCCCCACCCTGCGAGCAGCACGCAGCACTTCAAAACACCACGTGCTCCTGGCAGGGCAGGAGGAGACTTTGGGTGCTCCCCTACCCCCAGGCTCAAATTGGCCTGGGGGTGGAAGAGCAGCAGGGCCTCCGCAGGCTGGATCCGGCCCACAGAGGTTGAGACCTTTCATAGCTGTTGAGACCTTTCATAGCTGCCCCTGCCTGCCTGGCAGGAAGAGGGACTTGATGCTCCCTGCTCCCTTCGGCATCAGCCTTCTTGTGGGAGCCAGACGAGGCTTTGGGCTGGTGTCAGACCTCATTTACATGCTGTTGTATCTCCCACTGATGTGAATACTGTAGTGGTGGAGGGATTGGGGCACTGAGCAGCAGAAGTGAGTGGGTGAGTCTGATGGAACTCTCAGAGCAGGGTGTCAATATTGCAAATGACTTGCCGCCAAGAGAGACTTCTGCCATGTGCAGTAGACAGGGTTTAATTGCATCTCATTAATGGTCTCTTTCATTAGGCTCAAATGAAAAAATAGTAACATGTGAGGGCAGCAAACCTCGTCACTTTTATGATAGCACCTGGATAATTTTAAACTGTATACATATCTGTCCATGAAGAGTCTCCCACGTGCATTTATTCAGTGCCAATTGCCATTCCCATAATACACTACGGCTATGTCTAGACTGCAAGCCTCTTTCGAAAGAGAGCGTCTAGACTGCACGCGGAACTTTCGAAAGAGCAAGCCGCTTTTTCGAAAGAAAGCACCCAGTGAGTCTGGATGCTCTCTTTCGAAGAAGCCCTATTTACATTCAAGAACGCCTTCTTTCGAAAGAAGCACTTTCGAAAGAAGGCGTTCTTCCTCGTGAAATGAGGTTTACTGCCGTCGAAAGAAAAGCCACGTTCTTTCGATTTAATTTTGAAAGAACGTGGCTGCAGTCTAGACGCAGGTGAAGTTTTTTCGAAAAAAGGCTACTTTTTTCGAAAAAACCCCTGAGTCTGGACACAGCCTATATGGGTCTCCAACCTGTGTTATTTTCGAATAAAACTGAAGGAGTATAATGATGATGGGGTTTCATGGTTAAAAATACAGCACAAACTTTAGCCATATAGTCCATGTTAAGCTCTAGTTCAGCTTTGCAAACAAGACAAAATCTAGACAAGCATGTGAATTTGTATTCACCCTTCTGTCTCCAAGAGGTCTGTGCCACACACTGCACAATGCCTTTGTCTATTCTCCTGGAGTAATGATTTTCTTTGGCACAGCCATTTTGGAAATACCATGTTACGAGGGAACTAATTAAAGTATGGAGCACGTTTTTATTGCTTCCCTTCTGCCATTAAATTCATAAGATGGCTACACCCAGCAAAACATGCACTTTCAGTCAACATGGTTTTGAGTTCTGGGATTAGCCTGGAGGATATCAAATGGAAACTACATAGGAATGTATGAGTATTTCCCTTTCAAAATGCTGCTTTTAATTTGGAAAAGCTTTTCATCCTTCTGGGATCATAACCTGTTGTATATAAAGCTCAGTATAATGAAGGTAGATGGTATTGACAGAATGACATATTTTGAACTTGAGCGAGAGGTCAGCAGTAACACTGCCTTTGCTGATTCTATGACTGTCACTGAATGTGAGGCTGTATTTTAGCAAGACTGTTAAAGAGGAATGGATAGTCTGCAGCAAACAAAAATCCGGTTCCCAAAATGTACAGTTGTTCATAGCTATTAGATTAAATCAGCCATTTCTCTATATTCTGCAGAGAGGCCAGATTTTGTCATTGTCAAGACCCTGAGCTATACATATGTGTCCTCTGTTGAGCACTGCGATGGAGGACACCCATATCAGCAACAGAAGGGCAGGTACATCAGATAGGCCTGTCGGGCCCTTTTCCAACAATCGTATAACACTTGCACAAGCTCACCTCATCTATTAACCTCTATGAGGGAGATTGTGCCAATTTAAGATACTGGCCTGGGAATTAGAAGACGTGGGTTCAAGTTCCAGTTTGACTGCTAATCTCTTTGTGATTTGGGCAAAGTCCCACCTGTTAAAATTTTCAAAAGCATCCAAATAGTTTAGGACCCCCATTTTCATTAACTTCCAAGTTATTTGAGATTCTAATTTTTTCTAAAAAAAAAAAAAAAGAAAAGCACAACAACTAATTTCTCGTGAGTGCAACTTCCCATGTATGTCTGTGATTCAGAGCAGATGCCACTCTTTGAATCTGGCCATGCATCTCTGCATTCCAGTAAAGAACAAAATGAAAAACGTGGCAGCTACCTGGGTATATCCTCTGGCATGTTATTTTAATAGGGATATATTGCCACACATTGTGTCTCTCTATCCCTTGCTTAATTGTAAATCAAATGTTTTTAGCCCTGTCTTTTTGTTTCCCCATTGGCCAGAATCTTGAGTAATACTCAGCAACAAAGTGAAAAGAAGGGAGAAGGGTTCAGATATGACCGGACTCATTATTGGTGCACAAGGCATATCTCTGGACATTCTCAAAGGCTCGGTCAATGTCAGAAAAAGACAATGAAAGAGGCCAGGTACTCGTCTCCTTTCACCCTGCTCCTGTACTGCACCTCCCAAAGCTAAGGCAGTGTAGACTCAACCCACTGGCATGTCAAATAGTGAAGTGTTCAAATAAGTTACGTTTTGCAAGGAATCTTGGCCTTAAAAACTAAAGATTGTTGTAGCAATTTTGCTATGTGCATTAAAATCCTTGTACCAACTAGCTAATAATTGTATTAACACCAAATCATGTCCCAGTTTAATCTTCCTACGGGGTGGCTGTGTGCAGTACATTAACCTACAATTAGGGATAGCTTCATAAAATATGTACTGTGAAGCTTGTTTAATAGATAAACTATTCTCTAATTTATTTTAAAGTCCAATGACCTACATACTCAGATGCTGAAAACCCCCTCTTACTAACATTATTTCTCCCCTGAGACCTTCCATCTGAGCAAATCTGTTAAATGAAGTAGAGGAAGCTTTGATCCAAACTAGGCTAAATCCATTGGAACAAATGCCTGACACACGTATGTATGTATGTATGTATGGGTGAGCGGGTGTGTGCGGGAGAAGGTCAGAAAACAGAGTCAGAGATAAAGTCACGTGATTCAAGTAGCTTCTGAAACATCTCTTAAAA